GGTGGAGGAGAAGCTTGACAGAGTTTTGGCTTCTGATCCTTGGTTTGAGATTTTTGGTAGAGCACGTGCCTTCTCCGAAGTGGTTCCATCGAGTGACCATATCCCACTTTTTGTCCTGCCTATTCCTACTGCCAGAAGGTACCGGGTCAAAAGGTTTCGTTTTGAGAATATTTGGATTAAGGAAAGTGGTTGCAGAGAACTGATGTGGTCTTTGTGGGAAGAGTCCAGAGGGAACGATATCTCAGTTCGACTCGAAAGATGTAGCAAAGCTTTGTGGAGATGGGGGAAAGATCTTACTAAGGATTTTAATTCTAGAATCGAAGAATCTAGGAAGCAGATGGAGTTCTTGAGAGGTAAATATGATCAGCGAAGCATCCTGGCTTTCCGTGAAGCCCAAAAAAATTACTTGTCCACTTTGAAGCAACAAAGTGATTTCTGGAGGCAAAGAGCCAAGGTCTCGTGGTATAAAGAGGGTGACGCTAACACGAAGTTTTTTCACAATGTTGTTCGGGGGAGAAGGAAGACCAACTCTATTCAAAAATTGCAGGATGATAGGGGTGTTTGGAGACACAAGGGACCGGAGCTGCATAGCCTCATCAATACATACTTCATGAATCTGTTTGCAAGCAATTCTGGAGATCCGAATTTGGTTACTGATTGTATTAATCCAAGGGTATCATCAGCCCAGAATTCTGCGTTGATGCGCAGAGTAGCACTGGAGGAGGTTAAACAAGCCGTTTTTAGCATGCAACAAGACAAGTCACCGGGGCCCGACGGCTTTAATCCGGGGTTTTTTCAAGCGTATTGGGACATTCTTGGAAACGATCTGTTGTATCTCTGCAATACTGTGTTTGCAACAGGAACTCTGCCCGAGGGTATTAATCACTCCCATATTGTTCTTATTCCAAAAAAGAACAACCCGGAAAGGATGGGAGACTTAAGACCGATCGCTCTTTGCAATGTCACGTATAAAATCATTTCCAAAGTCATTGCAAATCGTCTCAAGCCCCTCCTTAATTCTCTAGTGTCCGAGAATCAATGTGCGTTTGTCCCCCAAAGGTTGATAACGGATAACATAATGCTGGCCTTTGAGACACAACATTTTCTGAAGAGGAAGACGCAAGGGAGAGAGGGGTATGCAGCAATCAAAGTTGACATCTCCAAAGCATATGATAGAGTTGAATGGTCTCTACTCAAAGCTCTATTGCTAAAAATGGGGTTTGCTGATAAATGGGTTAGCATGGTAATTCATTGTGTGTCTACTGTATCCTACAGTGTTCTACATGAGGGTGACGAACTGAATACTATTGTCCCTAGCAGGGGCCTTCGGCAGGGAGATCCTCTCTCTCCGTACCTCTTTATTCTGCTTGCAGAAGGTTTAAGCGCTATGATCAGTAATCTGGAAACCAGAGGCATTATACACGGCATTGCAATTGCTAAGGAAGCCCCGAGGATATCGCACCTCTTCTTCGCGGACGACAGTTTCTTTTTTATTAAAGCTAATCAGCATGAGATTTCTGCCCTTAAGGAGGTTCTGGAGAGTTATGGGAAAGCTTCAGGCCAAATCATAAACTATGAGAAATCTGCAGTTTCTTTTAGTGCAAATGTCAGCCAGAATATGAGGAATATTGTCATGAATATCTTGCAGGTTAGCACTGATGGTGTGGAAGGAAATTACCTTGGGCTCCCAGCCGTCATTGGTAGAAACAAAAGGAGCATTCTTAATTTCATCAAGGATCGTATTATCAAGAGAATGCAAGGTTGGACCAACAGGTTTCTCACTAGAGCAGGTAGGGAGGTGTTACTAAAGAACGTCATTCAAGCAATTCCACTGCATGCTATGAGTCTGTTTCTCCTACCCAAAGGGCTTCTTAATGAAATTGAAAGGGTCATGAACTCGTTTTGGTGGAGGGGTGTTAGTGATGGTAGGCGTGGCATCAACTGGAAGAAATGGGATCATCTGACTATTCCAAAAGTTTGGGGTGGCCTTAATTTCAGAAATCTAAGGAATTTTAACTTGGCTATGATATCTAAACAGACTTGGAGATTGCTACAGAATCCTTCTTCACTTGTAGCAAGAGTTTACAAAGCCAAGTATTATCCTAATTGTTCTCTTCTAGCAGCAAAGAAAGGTGGCAGCCCATCTTTCATTTGGAGCAGCATACTTGAAACCCAGGAGGTGATCAATAACAATTGCAGGTGGAGGATTGGAGATGGCTCTTCAGTCCGTATTTGGGGGAATAAATGGCTGCCAAGTCAATCAGATCCTAAAGTTCACTCGCCACCTTTTCCCCTTCTTGAAAATGCTCCAGTATCTACTCTGTTTAGGGAAGATAACTCCGGGTGGGACGAAGGCATCATCCGTGATATATTTGAGGAACGGGACGCAATTCTTATCTTGAGTATTCCTCTCCCTCTAACAAGGAGAAACGATAGTTTGATATGGAATGACGGCCAGAAAGGTGTTTTCTCTGTTAAAGGTTGCTATAAGGCACTGTCTCCTCATCTGGATCCTAACCAAAGGAAGAAGTGGACGTGTATTTGGAAGCTCAACTTGCCCAGGAAAATCAAAGTGTTTGTCTGGCAAGCTTGCAACGACTGCCTCCCTACTGCAGACTGCCTGCGTGTCAGGCGCGTGGATTGTCAATCAACATGCCACATGTGTCTCTCATCTGAGGAAACCACGGCTCATCTCTTTACAGGATGCTCTTTTGCGATGGAGTGCTGGAGCCTCACGGGGCTAACAATCAATTCTGGTCTATTTGCCTCGTTTGCACAATGGGTGGACTTTCATACTGCATCTTTGGATAAGGATCAATGTTGTCTGCTGCTTATGGTTTGCTGGAAGATCTGGCTTGCAAGAAATGACAAATTATGGAATCACAAATCCACCTCTAGTAGGAATCTTGTTGAAGGCGTCAAACTGTTTCTCGCTGATTGGACATCCACCTTTGAGAGCACCTCCATTCTCCCTAGAACAATCACGACTCCAGTTCAGAAATGGGAATTACCGCCGCCGGGCTATCTAAAAATTAATACCGACGCGGCAGTTGATACAAGCAGGAGCCGGGCAGGTTGGGGCTGGGTACTAAGGGACGATCATGGGCATTTCTTGGCAGCTGCTTGCATCCCAGGCAGTGGAGTTCCATCACCAATGGAGGCGGAAGCCTTGGCAATTAGGGAAGCTTTAAGTTGGATCAAGAAGAAGGGGATCAACCATGTTCGTGTTGAATGTGATGCACTTCAAATTATCCAGAGTTTGAACCATGTTCTTAGTGTGTCTTCTTGCGATCTTGTCCTTCTTGATGTAAAAGATTTGCTTCGTTCACTTAACGACGTAGCTATCTATCATGTTTGTCGTACTGCGAACAGTGTTGCCCACTACTTAGCTAGGGAAGCCTGTTCTATGTCTGTGCGTCAGGAGTGGATATCATCCCCTCCGTCTTTTATTGTTAATCATCTTTATGCCGATTTGAATTAATGAAAGTTGAGTTTGTTTTCAAAAAAAAAAAAAAAAAAAAAAAAAAAATAGCATGAGGGCATTTTCGTCTAGGAAAAATCAAAAGTCAAACATCTTCACTTCCTCAGCAGTGTACAACTTTTCGATACATAGACACAGGTACAATTTAGGGGTACCAATGCTTCTTCCTCATTCATTTAAGCTCTGACTCACACGCATGCACATGTCCATCCTATGCTCTAGATGCTTACATCTTTGTCACTTATTAAATTTGAAAAATGATACATATTTTTAGGAGTGATGTACGTGGTTGATTGTTAAGGTCAAATGATTTGCGTTTTAGGTTGCATATGGCATCTGATATTGGATTCGGCACAAGTTGTGCCACTCCGATCATATAATTACATTAGCAGTCAAATGTATTTTTTTATTTAAAAAAAAATCTCAATCGTTATTTAAAGATGTATTTAAAGGTGTGTTCCAGGTGTAAACCAATTTTGGGTGAAGCTCACCTTAGCTTGTCACTCTAAAGGTGTGCTTTGGTGTAAACCAACAAAAATGTCAATAAACAACGTATGTAACTCTCACATAAAATCAAATTTGAAATCTTGGAGTTGAGAACAATGTCTAACTAACATTGAGTTAGTGTCGATTCACCATGTCAAGAAGTCAGCGAACCCGGTGGCTCATGTCTTAGCACGGACAACTGGTTCAAGGTCTGTCTTAGAGTCGTGGAGGTCTGTTCCACCGGCCTGTATTGCTCAGCAGATTTAATGATTATCAGTTCAAAAAAAAACAGAGAATTAAATGCTTCTTCAATTCTATAATTAGTTAATTAAAAGATGTCACATCACATTTAAAAATATTTCTACTTGCAGAAAATATAATAACCAGCATTGCTCATTAAACTTATCATGTGAACCTTTTTTAAAATAATCTGTTATCATGACAATGATACTATAAAGAATTGAATGGATGCCAAATGGTTAGAGGAAAATGTTAAGAGGCAGTACAAAAGTTTGACAAAACTCAAAGCTAAGTTAGTAGTCAAATGGTTTCCACACACTCCAAATGTCAAAAGTACTCACTAAGTCAACTCTAATCCCTTACTAACTTGTAATTTAATAGTCATGGAATCTGCCTATAATTGATACCATCAACTAATGGCTATTGTCATTTGTCAATAAGCTAAGATAAATTAAAATAAACAATTCAAAATACAAATAGGGAAATAGGAAAAGAGGGTTTTTTTTTTTTTTTTTTTTGTTTTTTTGTTTTTTTGTTTTTTTTTGCCTCAGCCTATCATTGAAACAAGACTTCCAGGGTGATCCTTGAACCATTAAGCTAAGCCTCAAGGGCTAGAGAGGGTTATTTTGTTGTATACATGAGTGCTAACAAACAAAACTAGACATATTCCTATGACTTTGATTTATTGACCACATACATACAATACCACAACGTTAATTACCTTCCATATATAAATACCAAGGTCACACATTGACTCATGCATCCAAATCCAACCATTCAACTGAACCTCAGACCAAAACAAACCAAAAAAATGCAGCAAAAGGTTCACAAGAACATGAATTCTTGGGAAGAATTTGAGGGCGACGATGAAGACAACAACGATGTTTTCTATGCCGAAATTAGAAGGCAAGTAATGCAATTGACAGCAGAAGATGAAGATGAAGAAAAGCAGAACACAAATAAGGAGAGAGGCTCAAAACAAAAAGGGTTCACAGTATTGCAGCCTGGATTTCAGTTTAACTGGACAGGAATCAAGGATGGTAGCAGAGTGCCTCAATGGATGGTAGACCTTTGGAGAAAAGAAAATAGGGATGGAGGATTTAGTGGAACTGGGGTATTCATTCCACATATTGTCAAGTCCAGAAGAAGACATAAGCCAAGTATGTGACTTTTTTTTTTTTTTTTTTTTTTTTTTTTTTTTGCCTATGCCATTGATAACTAATTCAAATTCGAATCATATTCAATTGAACTTTTGATTTTTTTTCCTTATTTGGTTTTCTTTTATGGTGGTCTCTTGAGTATGCTTGTAATATTCTTTATCACCATTTTTGCAGGAAGGAAGAACAATGAAAGAGGAAGAGTGTACAAGCCTGTCACACAAAAGTAAACTGATTCGTTCGTTTGTCTTGTTAGCTTCTGGACCAAAATTCATGTCCACAAAAGTAAACCAACAAAAAAAAACAATGATGTGTATAATGTACCTTATAATATAGGACCAAAATTTATGTTCACTTCAACGATTTCTAGTACAAGTCAAATGAATGTGAAATTCGGCTTTGATGAACCAAGATGCTGATTGTATCTACCGCGCCATATATATGGATACAAAAAATCTATTAAAAAGGAAAACATAATATTATTCAAAACATGCACAATAAATTGAACTCTTGGTCCATTATCTCTTTTTATAAAATCTCATCATTGCAATTAAACCAAGAAAATAAATCTACAGTGGAACTAACAAATTCACCAAAGTTTTCAAAAAAAAAAAAAACTAATTCAACCAAAAGTAATTAATAAGAGTATACAAACAAATTTTCGCAAGTGAAATGTTACACATTCAAGAGTCATGCAAGACAGTTAGACATTTATATACTAAATGGTTGAATATATATTGATGGGGTGTGAATCCCGTGGGCTCGGGGCCCAAGAAGAAAAGGGATCAAGCCCAGAGAAAGAGAGGTCCAGGAGGAGAAAGGGCCAGATCCAGAAGAGGAAAAGTTCAAAAGAGATACGGGCCAAACCGAGGGGTCGGTTCGATCCGGGGGTCGACTCGACCTGGAGGTCGGCACAGGTAGAAGGTCGGCCTAAACTAGCCGTTAGCTCATATTAAACTCCTAATTATTACCCCACCGTTCCTAACCACCCACTTATTACCCAATCATTATTATTACCCATAACCCCCCCCCCCCCCCCCCACATAAACTCCACTTACTACCCACTTAAAACCACCCATAAATCCCCTACTAAATGCCCCTACGGCCATAATCTTGAGCCTTGGCTAGCTATAAAAAGGAGGGGAAGACAAGAAGAAAGTGAGTCATTCACTCACCCACACATGGGAGGACTCTCCCAAATACTATTCTCCCACTCACTATTCTTTCTCCCATAGAGAGACATGTCACTCTTCCTACACCACTATCCCAAGAGAAGGCTATTCACATACACAAGAGAAGACTATTCCACCATGCACAAAAGAAGACTCCATCACTCTTCCCTACTAGAAGATGCATTATCCATTCACTACAAGAGAAGACTCTACCACTCTTTCAACAAAGAAGGTCAAGAAGAATGTTCCCTCTCTATATACAAAGTATAACTCTTTCCCTACACAATATTTCTATACACAAAATAGTCATACAACATGTACAAAGACACCTACAAAATACATAGTGAATTTAGGCTTGGCACCGCCCAAAAAGGCCCGTGGTTTTCACCTTTCGGTTTCCACGTAAAAATCATCGAGTCATATTTCTTCTATTTTAGTAGCCTTATTATGAAAGGTGAATCCACCAACTAAGGTTGTGTTGGATCTCCCTGGGCCCAAAAACCCTAAAACCAACATATATATTTAGACATGTTTATCGGAAACATAAATAATATTTTGGTGTTGTGGAGTTAAAAATATTATTTATATAATTATAAGAGAAGTTGGGTTTACTTCTCTTAGCTTGGTTTTACTTCTCTTGAGTTTCACTCTTCAGAAGTTGACTTCTCGGGAAGTTAATTTTCGAATGACTTTTGGGTTACTCTTCGGATGACTTCTCGTATTCTCACAAGTTGTAATTATTATATTTAATAATAGGGAAAATGGCACTTTTTCCCCTTGAGTTATTCATGCATTCACATTTGTCCCCTCAATTATTATAGAAGTGGCGGTTTTTCCCCCTGATAATATTAAATGGACATTTCTACCCTTAAAACAAATATTTTATTTATTTCTCTTCTTCAACAAATTATTGTTTATATGTAGGGATGACCACGGTTTGGTTCGAACTGAACCAAACACTATAGCAATCAAATTAAAAAATTTCGGTTATGATTCATAACATAACCCAATATTTGGGTTTCCGTTTATTAAAATCGTGAACTGGAAAAAAATGGATCCTGAACCGTGAACCGGAGGTTCAAATCGGAACAACTACTAGCAATAGCTTAAATTAGAATTATAATATTTGCAAATAGTGTATGTTTTTTTCCGCATTTATATTGACTCTCACATATAAGTATATATAATCGCGGTTTGAGTTTTATTTTGAACCGTCGGTTCACGATTTTGGATCCAATTTGAACGGTTGGTTCAAACTTTCTTTTAAAATTTTATTTTTTTATTTTAAAAATATTCTAAATTCAACACTTAATGTATTTTATTTTTTCAAATCGTGGTTATAATTTGTTGGAGAAGAAAAATAAATGAAATATTTATTTTAAGGGTAAATATGTCCATTTAATATATCAGGGGGAAAAACTGCCACTTAAATAATTTAGGAGAAAAAAGTGCTATAAGTATATAACAAAGGGGGAAAAAGTGTCATTTTCCCTTAATAATATAATGCATGAATTCTTGATCAGTTACACACTAATTTAAATATTAAGTTTGAATTATTGTTATCTTATCAATATAATGATAGTGGGAGTTACAAAATGCTTTCAATTAATTTCTTCATTAATATGACATTAATTATTGTTCTAGTGGACTGAATTTCAAAAAAATATTTTTTTATGTTTGACTGAAAGTTAAAAAATTACATATTTCAATTTGGTTCATTTTCTTAATAATAATAATAATAATAATAATAATAATAATAATAATATGTGGTGTTATGGTAGTAGTGGTAGTGGTGCTATGGTAGTGATGGTGGTGGTGATGGAGTGGTTGTGTTGCGGTGTGGAGGTGTCATGGTGGTAGTGATGAGTGGTTGTGTTGCGGTGTGGAAGTGGTGGTGGTTGTTTTGTGGTGGTGGTTGTGGTATCATGGTGGTGTGGTGGTGGTGGTGGTGATTGTGTGGCTGTGTTGTATGTGGTGGCGTTGGTGGTTATAATAATAATAATTCGGAAACTATTTTTTTTTTAAAGAAAAAAAGAGAGGAAAGATAGTTGGAAATTAAAATAAAGAATTCAGAAAATGTCTTCCGACTAAAAAATTAGGAAGATATTTTTCACAAAATTAGATATTTTTCAATTGATCAGAATGAATATTTTCATTTGACTTTATTTTTCTTGAGCACCCAAACACGAGAAAATCTAAAAAATAACTTTTGGAAGTCATTTTTCGAATTTTCAAACTGATCCTAAAATTGGTTTGATCGATGCATTTAGCAAGTTAATTTACTACAATTCATGTTTTCATGCAAGCATTCTCAATCAATTGAGCTCGTCACGCAAAATATTTTTAGTGTGATTTTCTTTCTAAGGACTATTACACATAAGTAAAATATACTCAATACACATATTTGTACAGTAATTGTTGCGAGTTTTCTCCATCGTCTAAAAAAATTGTGATTTAAAATTGATTTGATGATTTGGGTAAGTTAAATTTACTAGGACTCACGTTCTCTTGGATACATAAATTTAGTACTCCGTATTAAAGTATCAAATTTTAAAAGGTATGATATAATTGTCCAAAAAGATAAAAAAAAATTCTAAAATATTCCACCAATAAACCTTTAAAAAAGTACTCTGTAAATATAACAATTTTTTTTTGGAAAAAAAAAAAAGAAAAAAAAAAGAAGAAGCTAAGTGACATAAAGGGAAATTTAAAATAAAAATGAATGGAGGTGATTTGGCTGAGTGATGATTTATATCCTTTTGGGTCTCCTTCTTGGTCTTCTTGATCTCCACATAATTGAGTGAGGGTCTGGGCACACTTGGTACTGAATTTTAGGTGGACCAATTTCTGGGAAACTGCATTCAAATTTTCAATACCCATCAGTCATCTAGCTGTCATCTCTGAATACTTTGCTATTTAATACTTTCATTTTATTCAATATATAATATTGATTGATTGAAAGTACCAAACAAGAAAAGAATTACAAGTCACAATTCAATTCCAATAATTTTGACATTCACATCAAAATAAAGAATAAAATTATTTGTATTAAATTTTTGGAAGTTTGTTACCTAACTTTTACTCTCATGCCTTTTCCGCCCATAAAGAAATAAATGGACATTTTTTTTTTTATTTTTTTCAATTCTAACTTAATTGATGTCAATGACCTTGTAGTCTAGCGGTATGAAAAAATTCTTCTTAGGGTCCGTTTGGAAAGCAGGAAAATGACTTCTGAAAAATGACTTTTGAAAAATGAGTCATTTTCCAGAAGTCATTTTCCTTTCCTGTGTTTGGCTGCACAATGGAAAACTGTCTTTTGGTGTTTGGCTCATTTTCCAGAAATGATGTAGAATTGTATAATTAAACATTTTATATAATTAATTATTAATTATTTTGTTTAAAATATATAAAATTTACAATAATATTATAAATAATAATATTTATTTTTAAAATCAAATAATATTATTTATTTAAAAAAAAAAAACAAACAAACAAACATAATATTCAAAGGATGAAGAAGCCGATGAAGATGAAGAAAGTCAACTGCTCTTGAAGTGAAGAAATGAAGAAGTCAACATCTGGAAAATGACTTCCCCTTTTTTAAAGGGGAAGTTGTTTTCCTTAAAAATAGGCTCATTTTCCATTGACCAGTACCTCATTTTCCATTGACTTCAATTTTTCCTTCTTTCCAAACATTGAAAACCCAAAAAATGATTTCCAGAAATTATTTTCCGGTTTTCCAAACACACCCTTAATAGAAGGTCAAGGGTTTGAGTTTCAGTGATGGTAGTATATACTAAATTTTGTATGATCTGAGGGTAAGTTCAATAGACACTTTTTAATATCAAAATATTGTTTATTCATTAACAACAAAAATACTTTTAGAAAATGATTTAGGGTGAATTCAATAGACACTTTTTAATATCAAAATATTTCGTATTCATCAACAACAAAAATACTTTTAGAAAATCATTTTTGAGAACTGATTTCTTTTTCAAAAAAAAATTATTTTTTAATATTTGGTTGAAAGTAAAAACAATTATTTCTTTTCAACTAAA